AAACTTCATTTGCAAGGATAGCTATATTTTGTTAGGTAGAAATATAGTTGTACTGTTGTTGGATGGGAGTTCGAATTTGTGTAGAAAGGTATATACGGAATCCAAGCAGTCAAAGGGATGACTGGTTCTAGTTATCCATTACTGCTATTCAGATTCAAATTCACTATTTTTGTCAGCTCTGTGAAAATGGATTTGGGCCATTTAAATATTTTCCCTTCTGACATCTGCCATGTTGTGAAACTTTGTTCACAGAGGACACTGAAGAGACACCACAGGAGGAAAACGCTTGGCTTCTGATCCCCGAGTGACAGGCGTCTGTGGCACGCACGGCTTTCGCCAACAGTACTCTTGCAACGTGCACAGCTTCTCCAGTGTCTAGCTGTCGTAATGCATGAATTCAGAAACACCCAGTGGCCAGGTATTTTTAGTAGCCCCCTTGGACAGTTCTGTATCAGAGTGCTTACAGTTAGACATCTCCCTATGAAGAACTTTCCCTAGCACCCAACATGGCTGATTTCCAGCAAGTTCTGCCAGTGTAGCACCACAGTGAATTCTCTGCCATTCATTAAGCCACAGCTGTGCCACCTTCATCAAGGTCTGGATCCCAGCCCTGGAGTGGAGCAGTGGTGACTCTTCCTTAGGTGATCTTAGCCCTATAGGCAGTGGCTGCTCCTTATATGTGCCTTTTCTATATTCTTTATAATTACCTTTATTCCCTTCTAAGCAATCCCTGTTACTCTAATCTCCTGTTATAGTTAATATTTCTTTATATTAAACTTTCCCAGCAAGAGACAGAAAATGTAAAGAGCCTGTTAGTTGTCCCTTCATTCTCACATAATTATAGACATGAATCTCCTCCAATTCCTTCTCAAGATAGACTCTGCAAGAACTCATTTGTGCTACACTTAAAAAGAAAGGATACTACTGACAGTAAGTTCCATTTTGAGAGGTTATTCCAGGTTAACTATGCTTTGATATGTTTGTCTCAATGGGTTTACTATTCCTTTCTGATGATTATCTGCACATTTGCAGTGCTAATAAACGCCTGGAATTTTATATATGTAAAAATAATTTACTGCCTCAGTACAAACATTTTTAAAGATAATCTTGGATCACTTATAAGCAGCAAGAGCAAGAAAGACCATTTTATAGCCACTGCAATGAAAATCTATAAAGATGTAATTAATTTATCTATACCTTAAGAAGAACAAAATAAATTCAGAAGGTAGTCCAAGTGTTAGAAAGAAAATGAAATAGCCTAAATAGCCTAACTGGAACATATGTAGGTTTAATGTAACATCCTTTGTCAGCATAAAATTTAATTTCTAAAGAATAAGAGAATTTCATTTTTAAAGAATGAAGATGTATAACAATTTAATACTAATTCTGAACAACCACTGAATCTAAATTTAATAGATGATTACCACCAGCTGGCTGAATGCTGATTTGAATATATCTTTGAATATAGCCATTTACTGACAGCTTTTTGCTAAGTGCTTAAACACAATCTCGTAATAACCCACAAAGTGACCTTTATCATTCCCATTTTGTAGACAAGAACCTGAAACTAAAAGAGGTTAAGTGAACTGTCCGAGGTCACACAGCCTAAATGAATCAAACTCAGAAGTCCATGTTCTTATCTCATGTAGAACCTTCTTACACCTCAGTGTACATGACGTACTCTGTAAGTATGGACTTTCCAAGGAATCCAAGGGCAAGGGGAGTCTCAAGACACTCAATTTCAATTAACTTTATTATATAGTCTTTTCTCAAACTAATATGCTTAAGGCTGCATCTGCAAAGTATCATGCTGGTTCTCAAAGAAGTACATTCTTCTTTGTACTTTTCCCCACTTTATAAATAAAAGCATACTTCTTACCCATTCAAAAGAGCAATCTGAAATATTTAGGTCAAACTGAACGTTAATGACTGGACAACAAATCTTTGTAGATGGTTTCTAATCCTCTGATTCCAAAAAAATTGGAGAATCTAAACAACTTATTAAGTTGATGTAATCATAGCAAATTGATCAAAGAGGAATTGAGTGACAATGCTATGATAAATGCCTTCCATCCCTATCAATTTATGAGAACAAGGTTTCTCAAGTTTATATTCATGAAGATGAAAAAGCAAAATTGATGCTGAACTGTCAGATTTTAGGAATAAATAAAATTCATTCATTAATTAGAAAGGAAAAAAGCTTTCATCTCATTGAGATATTTTACCAGTAGAATTTTACTTTGTTTAAATAATTATTTATCAAAATTTATGTTTGTTTTTAACTAGTTAGCTACTTACAATTTTACCTCAATCTAAACCTATTTTCTTACATTTAAATTCTTGAACATACTCTTACTGCAATGAGATATGATAGGGTAAACAATATGACTTAGAATTTACGCTAAAAAATTTTAATGTCAACATAAACATGTGCAAATGGATACTTTTTTCTCTCAAATTTGTTTGGGAGTGTGTTAAAAGCTTTAATATTGTTTCGAACAGTGAAAAATCTTCAATATTTTCCCCTATTCTCATTCCAATTTGAGACACGGCAATGAGACAAATGTCTATTGCCACTATTTTCACCAATAGCCACAACCTGAAAAGAAAGATCAGTCTAGTATTGGAAAAATACAGAAATGAAAACAACTACTCCCCCAAAGAGTTAGGGCTGCTTGAGAAAAAACAAGTTAAAGCACTGCTTGTCTTATTTGTTTTTGTTTGATTTAAAGACTTGTGTGAAACCTAAAAGGAAAAATAATAAATTATAAATTATTTCAGCTTCATTTTTCAAGAGGATGAAATAAATGCATATTAGGCACACAAAAATAAAGATTTCTAGAGAGTGATAGGAAAATGGAACTGTATTGATTCTCTAGAGGTGAAACATGTTTCGACTTCAAATAAAATAAAGCAGAGCACTAAATCTGAGGAAACCGTTAAGCTGTGAGGAAGGGAGACACTGGATGCTATTAATCAGAAGCAGGACAGATGTGTAACAGTAACTGAGACTGGCAGTGCCACTGGGTTCCCTAAGAGCAGAAGCCAATAAACTCTTCTAAACTGGGAAATACTGTAATTTTAGGCAAATTGGCAGGATGTCAACTTTAATTTATATGCACATACAGGTAGCAATCACTATTCAGTGGGGACTGCAAGTTCCCTGGACATACCACGTTCTTTCTTGACTCGTGTCTTTGTCAGTTCTGCTAGTGTCTTTTACCTGGCATGACCTACAACCAATCTCTCTGGCTCTTCTTTCAATATGCCAATCAAAATGTCACATTTCCCGTAGTAACAAAAAAATAAAACTTTTATTTAATTCTCAAAACTTTTTTTTTTTTTTAACGATATCTCATATTGTAGGAAACCATAAAAACCACTATCATAAGAATGGAAAACACTTTAAGCACTGTGAAACCAGACTCTAGAATAGATATATTCTATAGTGGTCGCTTAAAATTATTTTAACTCAAAGAAGTTAGTGATCTTTAGTCTTTATATATTACACTTCTGATTTAAGTTATAGTGCTGAGACCAATAATCTCCATGGACAATTACATACACATAAAAAAAATGATGCCAAAGCAGAGTTAATTTAAGTGCGTGTGTGTGAGCGTGCATCTGTGTGTGTAGACAGACAGGTCAGTTTGTCTCTATCTACCTACCTATTATCTAATTTATGAATCTAAACTGGACTTTGTAATCTCAGAAAATTTCAGGATAAAATGCTATTATAATCTCACTGAAAGTTCCATCATTTTGTTCTCTCACTTTTGACTCAGTCACGTTATTACTGTTCCTCTACTTTGGAAATCACTTTGGAATAGTATTTTAAAGACAGACTTCTTATAATGAAATCCACTAGTGCAGTGCAAGTTCCCTAATGTGAAAATGCTTGGGCTTTTGATCTAAGGCAAATACAATTACAAACAAGTTTTTGTGTTTTAGTCAAGTAAGGAAAAGAAGGCAAGACAAACCTGGGAACCAAATGTGCTACATTTATTAAAGTATGTATATGTTTGTGGGAATGAGGTGGACTACATTTTCTAACTGCATTAAGCAGCAAAACAGTATTTAGCCAGGAGAACAAAAAAAAAGGAAGTGATTTATAATATATCCTTAGAGATCTTCAATTTTCAATTTCATTTCACAAATATACCTGTGCATGTGTGTATAAAATATTCAGATTCACAGACCCATATAATTCAATAGAGGAAAAGCGTATATTCTAAATGTAAGCAAAACATTTTCTGTTCTATAGTAAAAATTGGGATATACTGCAATTTTAGGCAAATTGGCAGGATGTCAACTGTAATTTATATACATATACTGGTGGCCATCACTATTCAGTAACTGTTATTAAATTGATGAGAAAATTATTCACCTTTTCTTAAGGGCAGTTAAAAAAAAAAACTTTAGTTTTTATCATTTTGCATCCTACCAACTTATACATGGGGCATCAGAGTCACTAAAATACCTCCATAGCCTGGGCTAAGCGTTCTTCTAGTGCCATGTAGGTGAGGAACTGAGGATCCACATAAGAAATAGCTTCAGCAACTCCTAGTCCATCCGCAAAGCCATCAAACAGACTGAAAAAAATAAAAATAAAAAAACACACACACACACACAACCATGACTTGGGAAATCTTTATAATGAAGACATAATTATATTAGCATACTATAAATATACTACAAGCAGAAAACCTTAAAATATTCTAATATAAATCCTGTGAGGGGCAGGAGAAACCCAATATAAAAAAAGTTCAAGTAATAAGCATAAGGAGTTTAGACACCACTACCTCTCCCAATAGGCTGCCACACTCAC